AAATAAACATATAATAATAATTATGTATTACTATAATTATATATGTGTAATTATTTTTTTTTACAAAATATATTATGTATAATTACAAAAAAATTAACAATACATTTCAATGACTGATAAGATATTATTTTATTATGTAATATTTTGGTATATTATTTTAGATAATTTTGGTCCCACAACCTCTTTTTCAGCTGTAGAAAAACTGCTAAGAAAAGCTGAACCTAGCACATAAGTGAAATAATATGAAATTATAAGCCTAATAAATGCACATTTATATGCAACATAAGTATCAAGTATCCAGACACTATTGTATGAATGTGTAAAATGCACATAAAAATGTTACTGCATACTTAGAAGTACAGTATATACTTTCCTAGCCACCAGAACACAATTCTAGTGTGTACTGCAAGTATATGAATCGGGACGCAGCCAGGATCTAATACTTCACTTCAGAAGTGACATATACAGTCAGGAGGTAAACATTCCATGCAACTCTCCACATAAACCACTCTCATTCCACATAATATATCACATGTTAGATGTTTCAGTTATCTGCTGTTAATCCAGATGTGTGCAAACTTTCCATACGTACGGTATGATAACACTTCTACATCTGCAGTTCATCAGTCTTAAAAGAATTTGTGCAGAAGTTTTATGTCATGAGCTGGTGAGACAGAACAGGTTAGAGAGACAACCATGAAGATTTGCTGAAAAATGCCAAATACTAAAACTGGAATCCAATCTCATCAGCAGTTTGTTTTTTATTATTGGTTAGTCGGATTAATCAAAATTAAATCATAATTGAAGGGCTTATTTAATCCAATCAATGTGAAGTGGACATGAAGTATTTGAAACACAGATGGGGTTAAACGGTAAACGTTTTCCTTATAAGAAAATTCAGGACTTTTTATGTTTGCAACTAAAATAGGCTAATTCATCTTTTTCGTTCATGACAAAACTTAAGAGTTTAGATTAGAGATTAACATTTATTAAATATTGAATTCAATACCCACTATTTTGTAAGACTGTTAAGATAACTAACACTTCGATTTGGGTAGGCTTAATAGGATCACTTAACAAAACATTTAAAGAATTTTAATAAGTAAATAAATAGGACGTGATCACAAATGTATAAGTAATCCTAATAAATAAAGTAATAAATGGGAAGTGATTGAAATGTATTCCTTATACATATAATTTCTTTTTAATGCCTAATCATATATATATAAAAAGAAAACTTAGATTGGGTGGTCTAAATAGGATCACTTACCATATGTTATAAATATGTAAATATGTAATGGAGTGATTGCAAGTGTATGGGAAGTAATCCTATCAAATAAATACGTAAATTCATACATAAATGGGGACTGATCCCAAATGTATGATTTCCATTCACTCCTTGCTTCATTTGATCTCAAACGACTTACCACTACAAGCACGCACAAATCAGGCAACCAACTTGACTTAATTTACACACGCAATTGTATTGCAGACAACATTCTGGTAAA